TTCAGCCAAAATGTTGCACACAAGCGAGGCAAAGAATCCAATTTAGTAAAGTAAAATGAATTCATGATGAAAATGTATATATCGTCTTATGTTTATTTATAATATTATACCTGCAGTAAATACAAGCTATAACTTGAAGGAATCAAGAGTTATACTTTTAAAATGCCTATGTTCTCATTAAGATTTCATCATCCACCTACACTAAAAAGCCTCTTCCTTCCATTTTCTTATATCTGCTTTCATCATGACCCTTTTCATCCATTCTGTTTTTAATCTGCAATTCCCTACTTTACATGCACTCTCAAATTTTAAACAAGCAAAATTTGTGCATTAGTATGTCCTTTTCATTTATCATTTATGAATGATAGGTTCTTCTGTGCAATGTAATGGTATGAGAGGAAGACATTATTTTAAACATTAAAGTAAAAACCATTTGCAACTATGATAAGAAAGGTCTATTGACATTAAAGTTTAAAATCTGCCCAAGGTAGAGGCAAAACACTGAGCTAACAGGTGAGAGCATCATGCATGCAATTGATAGATAGTTCAGCACATTAGTTCTCTTCCTTTCTCAATCTTTGGCAACCTTTTCGTTTTGGTGCATCAAACAATCCATCAAGTTATCAACAGCAACTGGAGTTTAATGACTTTGAAAGTACTTAGAATGCTAGTCAGAGCATTCACTTAATAGACGTCCCATTTGATTTGTGAGAAACTTTTCCCTGTCTTTAAGTCAGCAAAATATATTTACAAAACGGAAAGTCTAGAGGAAAATCTATTTCTTTCACACATGCTTCAACGTTTATCCACTACATATTCTTCTAGATTGTGTTTTGCACAGCTACAGAGCATATATTATGAAATGGAAAATATGAAGTTGAACAGTAACTGAAGATGTGTCAAAATGAATCTTATGTTCTGTATTATGGTATAGAGTGGTAATTACAATTCCTGTTCTTATTTCCTCAGTAGTAAAAAAAATGTGTCAAGAAAGAAGACCAAGCAGAAAAGTTTTCTCTTGACTTTTATGCCAAAAATAATACAATAATCAACATTTGTTTTTTTCTTTATAACAATCATTGTTTTAATATCGAGTTTTCACATTTCAATGATGCAACATTTTACATGGAGTTGTTATAATATTTTATATTTTTGCTGTACTATCTATCATCTGTTTATTACATTTATAAGCAGCTCAACTCAGGAGACACAATTAAAAACAGAACACCTAAAAAATAGAAAAACAAGGAGGCAATAAATTGATAAGTAAGAAGTAAGACAGTAAAAATTCCTCCAAGGCTTATATTTTTAATCAAATCAGAAAGAGTCATTTTTGATAGGGCCATTTGAAAGATGGAGGGATAATATTCAATATATTAAAGAGAATACTATTTGTAGTAAAAGCAAAACAAAAAACAAAAGAATGAACACAAAAAATGTATTTGGCAATGATATAAAAAATGTTTCTTGCAACTTCTAACCAAGGTTTTATTCTTTCAATGCAAGAAACTTTCATGGTAAAGAGAAAGGCAAACTTTCTTAAAGAAAAGAAAAGAAAAGTCCAAATACAGAGTTTCATAATCTGCATGAGAAATGCTATATGCAGACTTCCGGTTCTGGATCGCAGCGTTTGCAACCGTATGACGAGACTACTCTCTTCGCTGGCTGATTCTCCGCTGCTGGTAGACCCTTAATCGGGTCGAAAAGCCACCCTGGAGGGGCAGCTACCATTGAGGAGGCCCTCATTGACCGTGGGAGAGCAGTAGCTTCTTCCATGGCCTGAGATTGCTCCTTTGGGCCGACAGTGGAAAGATCGGCTAGTAAAATAGCCGATCACTTTGCCGCTGTAACCAGAAGTCAGAAGAACATCTAAGTGCAGGAACCACCATGGCTGAGCTGGGTGAGACTTTTTTTCCCCCTCTCTTGGTTCTCCTTTTTTTTTGTTGCCTGTAAAAAGCATCTTTGAAATTATTTCCCTGCTCTAAGAAAGCGGCGTTTGTGAGTGTGGGAAAAGAAGCTTAAATGGATTGAATTAAATTAAACTGATTTTTTTTTATCCACTTCAGTGTCTTGGAAAAAACTTTGAATATTGAATTTACTACTGGACTTAGTCTACATGTGAAGAATTTTCTCTTTTTGCTTTTTCTGATTTTGTTACTGTCATTCCTGATGTCTGGGAGGAGATTTTATAGTCTACTGAGGACATCTTGTGGAGAAAGTCAAAATTGCAACTGAATTTTTTCTGATGGTGAGATTGACTTTGACCTCCAGATTACCATAAAAAGAAAAAGACAAAGAAACTTAACAGCTGTATTTGTGGGGGTGGATACTGATTAAATGTTTTTTGAACACAGCCTCTACTAAAAGATAATAGACTGTTTCTAATTATTATTGAAATGGAGAAACCCTATTCTCAACTTGACTACAAACTCATATTGGAAAAAAATTATGAAGCTACTGACCAAATATGTTTGCAAATAAAAGAGTGTGCTATAGTAATAAAAAACAGAAATTCTGCTTTGAACTTACAAAATTGACCTCCAGATTCTATCTGAGCATTCTATAGACCAAAAAAACAACAGAAGCGGAACCAATATTAAAAAAGATTCTACTTTACTTCATACACAACCTAATGAGATTTCCGAGGAACAAAAAAGGACTGTAATTAAACCATTCACAATTTCAAAACCAACAGAAATGGATATACAAGCTCAACTAATCAAGAACTATGATAGCAACTATTAACTACAAAGTTGGACATAACTGAGTCTGCTATTCAACAGATCCATATGTGGACACTTGACTCTTTAAAACAACAGGGACTATTTACAAAAGGAGTCAGCTCTCTAAAACAGAAAAGGGGATGCTTTTGCTTGACCCAAATGATACCACAAGCACAAAAAGAAACTTGTTCATTGATATAGAGGCGTTGCTATGGAAACCTGCCTGGCACAAAAAGAAAGCTAGAATAAGATTTAAGAGTGTGATTCAAGGCTCTATATAACGGGTTTAAAAGGCTTATCAGATATGGATTGATTTATGGTTCAAGATAGTTAAATAAGATGTTAGATTGAATAAAAATTAATTAAAGATTTGAATTTAATAAGAAGATGTTTGTCTGTGTATTAATATGTTTGTTGTGGATATAGTAATTTTGGGAGGGGGTTAAAGGAGTTTGATATAGATATTGAGTGATTGATAGATCATAAAGTATAATAGAGTAGAAAGGTATTTTTTGTTTTTGTTTTTCTTTTCTTTTTTAAACTAACATTCTTGTTATTAGAAATGATAGTTATTTTGTAATGGAAGAAGAATAAGAAAAAAGAAGAAATGATATTAATAAATGATTATTGATTATGTCAAGGAAAAAGGGAATGAAGAGACACCTGAAGTGTTAATTATGTATTTATACTAGCAAAATGGAATATAGTAATTGAAATAGTAAAGCTTAACACAGGATTTGGAAATGAAAGAAAGGCGATTGGGGACTTCTTTTCTACTAGACTATAGAATATAGAGAACAGAACAGAATAGAATAGAATAGAATAGAATAGAATAGAATAGAATAGAATAGAATAGAATAGAATAGAATAGAGCTGGAAGGGACCTTAGAGATCTCCTAGTCCAGCCCCTGTTCAAACAGGAAAACCTGTACCTTACACAGCAGTTATAATGAGCGTTACCTTTTATACATTTTTAAAAGACTCTTATTCTCCAATTCAGTTGTTTAAAGGAAGATAATTTCTTGCATTAGCAGCATATGACAGAATCACTATGGGTTTAGAAAAAGAGTATAGCATAGAGTATATGCTATTATGCGAGCCATACATTGGATCATCATTGAATATTCTTGTTGTATGTTACACTGCTTCACTAAGTATAGTATGCATTAGGAGAAGAATTTGCATATGTGAATTAACCAATTATAGTGCCTTGATACCAATCATTGTATTATATTTATTAATTATTCAAAAATTTGCACCACAATTTCCTACCATCATCTGATTCTAAAATAAATTTGTGACCAATAACATCACTCTGCACAGTAACGCAGTATCTCTTTCTTCTACCTTGAATACTTTCACCAATGTCAGCCTCGGTGTGCTTCCAGTTGAAGATATCAGTATTTACAACAATGCTATATTGACAACCAGCTCAACATTGGGTTGAGAAGCCTGTACTATTGCAAGTATTGCCTGTATTTCCAAACACAGAAAGAATCAAAACATAGATAGAGGAAAATAGGAGATAGAATCAGGAAACTGGAAGTACTGGCAATTTTCTTTGTAATAACCCTTCTTGTGGAATATTGTCTCTCCTTGCTGTAATTCCATAAACAAATCAAAGGTGTTTTTTCCAAATGTACTTCAAATTTGAGACTGAACTATAAACATAGCTTGTTGGTAGAACTAGAAAATTATAGCTATAGACAGACAGTATAATAAAGCTGGCCACCTAGAAGGAGAAAGGAAATTTGGCAAGGGCATATCATCCACAGGAAATAGAGTTGCTGCCACAAAGGGGGAAGAATCTGACAAAAGCCTATTCCTGGCTTAGTTTTTACATGAGGCATAGATTTCTTGAATCCACATAAAGAAATATCAAACTTTCCTAATAAAACAAAAAGCCTTTGGAAGAAAGCCTGATTGTGGATCTTTCTCTAGACAAGGGAATCTACTGAGAACTTTCACAGGTTAGCACATTATGTGGCACGTGCTTTCTGCAAACTAGATTTCATATTTCCATAATTCTGGCTATTTCAGTCATTGACAAAAATGACAAAGACTGAAGTTCATACATAAGGATATGCACAAGAACCAAATCAGGCATGATTTTAACCATCCATGCTTTTAAAAGTATAAACTATATCAAAGATATAACCATCAAGGAAGAAGGCTATGAATCTGCATCAAGAAATGTAACTTTTTAAAATATGGTTTTGCATTTACAGATATTGTTGCATGGTAAATAAATATGATGAAGCTCCAATAATTTTTTACCTTGTAGATTTTGCAGTGGCAATGTCATGATGCCTCCTGCTGCAGCTGCTGCTACAAGCCCTTGGATGTTGGTGAGGTTAGCAGTAGGCAAAGTTAGGACAAGACCTTGCTGACCACCCAATTGTCCAGCCATGTTGAAGGGAATCAGAATAGGTTGATTCAATGCTGGAGGGGCTCCTGGCATCACTCCAGCTACAGCTGAGGCTAGCTGCTGAGCTGTCAACAATGGCTGCAACAAAACATAGTGATCATAGATTATCATATAACAAAATAGACCTATAGCACAATATATTGCCCCCAACAATCTGGATCTCATTTTACCATTGAATCACAAATTCTTCCAATGCATCTGATCTGACTTATTTAAGATACCCTGTCCAAAGATGGGACATCACATTTAATAAATTAATTCATTAAACTAATCAATACTTTAAAAAGTGTAACTGTTTCAGAAACTGTCCCCAATTAACCAGGCTGGTTATCTAGTCTGCTGAAATACAAACAGAAAGAGGCACCTTAAAGAGCTAAATTCTATTCATTATTGAAAAAAAACTAAATATGCTTCTTGATTAATTGACAATGCAATTTGGTGGAAATGTAACTGATAAAGCAAAATTATTTTAAAAGTTTAAAAATGTAAATTATTATTTAATTATGCTGAACCTTAGTTGGAGCCATGGTGGCGCAGTGGATAGAATGCAGTATTGCAGGCTAATTTTGCTCTTGGCCAGGAGTTCAGTTGAGACCAGGTCAAGGTTGGCTCAGCCTTCCATCCTTCTAAGGTTGGTAAAATGAGATCCAGATTGTTGGGGACAATATATTGATTCTGTAAACCACTTAGAGAGGGCTGTAAAGCACTGTGAAGCTGTATATAAGTTTAAATGCTATTTCTATTTCTATTAAATTCAGTAATGTGTATAAGAACACCTGTTACCCCTCCAAGAAATCAGATTTATCCATTCAAAGTATATTTATGTGTAGCCCCAATATTTATGTTGGGGCTAGCTGCATGCAAGGCCAGTAATTGTATCAAAGGATTTAAAGAGAAACTGACTTTTTAGAGACAGAATTAAGTGCAAAAATTGAAAGTTCTTAACATATTCTTCACTTTCTGGAGTGCCTTTCCAATTTTCTACCCCTCAAAATCCTGCCCCCCATGAAGGAAGAAAACTATAATCCTTTGTTAATACAGTTAGTCCTCAACTTACATTTCTGTTGCTAAACAAGATACTTGTTAAGTGAGTTTTTCCCCATTTTACAACCTTTCTTGCCACGGTTGTTCAGCGAATCACTGTGCTTGTTAAATTAGTAACACAGTTGTTAAATGATTCTGGCTTCCTCATTGACTTTGCTTGTCAGAAAGTTACAAAAGATGATCACATGACCTGGGAACACTTCAACCATCAAAAATATGAGTCAGTTGCCAAGCGTCTAAATGTTGATCAAGTGATCAAGAGGATGTTCTAAGGGTGTGAAAACAATCATAAGTCATTTTTTTCAGTGCTGTTGTAACTTTGAATGGTCACTAATTAAACTGTTGTAAATGGAGTCCTACCTTACATTTGCAGATGCAACCATAGTTAAGGTTATAGCTTCAGTGCATTAAACAACTATACTCGGCAACTCTCCTTTTGATTACAAAATACCAAATCAACCAGGAAAAAATGAAACACTGGCATATTTATTCATTAATAGAAGAAAGCTTATCTAGAAATTTCTGTCTTATTCATAGATCAATACTGTTTGCTAAAGACTAGGAATGTTATTGCTAGAGAATCTTTTTCAGTTCAAAATAGCATAGGGTTCATATTAAAAATGAACAGCTACTTTCCATACATAACTCCTTAGTTTTTATACATTTATTTCATTTTTATTTTTATTCATTTATTTCATCTATTTTTAATATCTTTCATCTGAATAATACAGAGTAAAATATATTGACTTTTTAAACATGATGGTTAACTAAGCATAAATGTTAATTGCAATATTTGTATTACAGGAAAACCATGGATAACTCCTGTTTGGAAACATTATTGCAAACTATTGATTGCTACCAGGGGAAAGAAATGAAAAATTATAATTAAACATATGAAACCAAACTTTAAAAACTACACTCAAGTTTTCTTTCAGATGAATAATTTCAGCTCCTTTAAATGTACAGCATATTTTCTAAATTCAGGATAATGCATTATTGTTGTTTTCTGAATTCTTACCATCTTCTTCATATCTCATTATAATTACACCAACTCAAACTGATCACAAGACTCCCTGAACAGTATTTGTCTCCTTATTTTCTTGAGATAAAACTAGGTAGCATACAATGCCTAATTATTTCCTTAAAAATAAAGTTGGGATCCCAACCAATGAAAATTTCTACACTATAAAGATTTAATTGCCCAGTCTACAAAAGATTCCATTACTAACTATTCAATTGATTTAAAAAAAGGATAACAGAAAGCATCAGTAATTGAATATGGAATCTTTTCTACGTATAGTATACATATTATCACTGATCTACTTACTATTCACCATACTTATATATAATGTTCTCCTTGCATGAGTGTCTAATAATTAATATTCTTGGTTTTCTTCCATTCTGAAAACTTTTGTCTAACTATAATGCTTAACATTCATGAAAATAACAAAGATTGTTCAAATGAAATACACTAAATTAAGTTTAGGTTTATGACCAAAGACTGCAGCTCAAAATGTCAGCTTTTTAATTTTATATACCCTTTATAATTTTGCTACAGTTTATTCATAAATTTGTTGAGTTCAAACTGAATTGAAACAAACTATGTGGATAGCTGTTAAAGTGAAGAAATTAAAAGTGAAGAAGTATTAAAAACTGCATCTTCATACATTTAAATTAGAAAACTGGCGTGAGGTTTTATTAACTAAATTTAACAGGCAAAATTATCCAAGTGAAGCAAAAATCTAAATTTTCCTTGAAAAGTATAGAAATCCATACCTTATTTTTATAAAAGAATGAGAACTTTTACCCTAAACAAGCCATATCCTTGTAGTAAAACGAAAAAACAAGCAAAACTCCTGAACTGCTGTGTATAAAATGTCTACGGACATTTGAAACTGAAGCATGAGGTCATTTTTATATGCTGCTTGTTGTTGATATGAGACCTGCTTTCAGAAAAGCTTATATTCAATTAGAGAAACTTACCTGGGGTCCAACAGGGAATGTTGGATGGGATTTACAGGATTGGTGCTGGTCAGAAATATTTGTATTGCTCCTGGCTCCTGGAATTTAAACAAAAAATTATATCTTAATATCTAGCCTGAGGACCAGCACATTACATTTTACTGTGATGTCAAATAGCATCATACTAAAATGATATGTCAAAGAAATTTATCAATAACTCATGTGCTTAGTTCACTTATCAGATACGTAAATTATGCCAACATTCATTCTGTTCAGGCTCATCTTTTGGACTAATAGAGAAATCAGAAAACAGTGAAACTGCAGCTATCATCACCAGTATTAAAGTGGCTTGTACAACCACTTACAGGTGGTTTGTAAAACCATTTACAGGAAAGCTTTCTTCATAAGAGAAAACTTTTCCAGAATTCTAAAAAGCAAGTAAAAACTATGTTAATTTCACTGAAGAAAAGGATCTATGCCAAAGTCAAATCACATCTATTTATCTTCCCAGTAATAAAATACATTAGATGTACAATATGAGTCTCCCTGTAATCTATGGTTGCAATGCCATTGGATTTCCCATAGACACAAAGAGTATGATTGCATAAAAAGTGCAACTGGGTACATAGAAAATGAAATGAAGGTGTCAATATTTTGGGAGTGTCAAATTGCCGGCCTGCGGGCCAGTTGCATCATATGGAGGCCATGCCCACCCTAGTTCCAGGAATGTGGAAAAAGTTGTGATACATCACGACACGTCATATGATGTGGTGAGTTTAACACCTGCATTTTAGACTATACCATTTCAAACTAAAGGAGGTGGACATAGTTTTGCATGGTCCTCCACAAAACACAAAAAATGGACATTACAGATATGAAAGCAAACTTGTAAACAATGTACAGCATACCAAGGACCATTTTTTTTTTCTGTTCTGCTATTTGATTGCATTTCAAATAAGATGCTCAGAATGGAACAGTGCCATCCAAAGTTCCATCACCTCAAACCAACTAAAGAAAGGAATACAAGTACTCTTCAAGTTATGATCATAATGGAGTCTGCCCATCACAGTTGTAACATCTGACAGGCATAAATGACTTGTGACAAACCTGATTTTTTTCATTTTTTTGTGGCATTTTTGTGGCATTTGCTAAGCAAATGTCATGGTCATTAAGAAAAGCAATGGTTCACAATGGACTGGTTTTTCTGAAAACTGGAAATAAATTCCAGTTTTCAGCAAAAAAGTCATAAAAGATCCCATGTGGACAATGCAATTGCAAGACAGTACAAGCAGTCATAAATGTGATCCAGTTGCCGAGCTCCCAAAGTGTAGTTATGTGACTGTGAGAGCTAATGGAACTTAAAATCTGAATTGTAATTGTCCCCCAGGGAGGCAATTGTAATTTTGTAACTTAGCCAGTCTGCACAGGCCAAAAGGGATGATGGTTAGTGAGGATCATAAAGAATGCATGGGGGTTGCAGGGGTATGTGAGAGGAGCTGCACTGATTGGAGATGGCCCATGAGAAGGGTGACATGGATTGGGAAGGGCACCTGGGAGTGAGCAAGAGATGCTATACAGGACAGGGATGCCAGGGGTGGAGGCAGGTGAGGAAGGATCTGTGAGGTTGTCCAAGAGTTGCTGCATGGTTTGAGGAGAGCATATGGGCCATGGCTGCTGGCTTTTTAGCCCGTTTGAGGTAACCGGATTCCAAAATAACATTTCACCCACTTAAAGGTCATAAAAATGAATTTTAGTCATGTATAGATTAAGCAAAAGCCCTGCTGTTTCATTTCCTTCCTTGAACAAAGTTGTGAAGAATAGAAACAAACAATAAGCAACAGCAACTTTTTGATAGCCTTACTACTGCATTTCTACTTGCACTAGAGTTAAATGTCATTATGAATATCTTTAAGACTAAACTGCAGGTTCACCTGTGTTTTAACCTTTTATGATCAGTTGGTCAGGGGTGTCAAACTGCTGGCCTGTGGGCCGGTTTCATCATACCGGAGCTGCTCCCACCCCATTGCCAGCAATGGCGAAAAAGCTCCAATACGTCATGCAATATCATGTGATGTTGCGAGTTTGACGTGCCTGAGTTAGGTGATGCCATGTAACTGGGCATGCAGTTATATAGGTTGTTCTAAGCACAAAAGATGACAATGAAAACACTGGATGGCAGCTTCCCACAGGATCCCACAGAATCTCTGGCAACTCTGGCCAGGCCACTAACTATTAAACCAGAATGCAGTGTTTCTCTCACTGATTTTCAATGCATGGCATAAATGAGCCGAGGTGGCGCAGCAGTTAGAGTGAAGTACTGCAGGCCACTTTAGCTGACTGTGTTCAGCAGGTCAGCGGTTCAAATCTCACCGGCTCAAGGTTGACTCAGCCTTCCATCCTTCCGAGGTAGGTAAAATGAGGACCCAGATTGTTGGGGGCAATGTAAATATATATATATATATACATTGCTTACTGGTGTACACCGCTTAGAGAGTGCTTGCACTGAAAGCGGTATATAAGTCTCATAAATAAATAAATAAATAAATAAATGGCAACCATTCATCCTGATATGGTAGTAGCTTCTATTTAAGGTGATATCAGTTAGTAGCTACACAGGATTCAGGATTAGCACATGAAAACCTAAATATTAACCCTTTCCTTACTGCATAAATCCCATTTTCATCCAACCAAATAAAGTTCCAAGTGTTTCTAGCAGGATGCTTGTACCCATAGAATTGTAAAATTCCATCTTCTGTTTAAAGCTAATAGCAATTCCAAGTTCCATAGTATGATTTCCTCTGATTAATCGGAAAAGTTAAACAAATTAATCTCTATTGCCTTTATGCTGTCTTCCGATTCGTCATGATAATCACCCAGAATGAGAGAGAAATTAATTTTGTTTTTTTGAGTCATTGGTCAAACTGTTATCCTTTGTGTGACATGCATATATTAAATGAAAGGTGTACACATTACTTTTAAATTTTAGTACAAATGGTCTTTAAAAACTTCAAAATAATATGAAAATAAGATACAGTTAATTTAGACTAAGAAGAAAGAAAAACTGAGAAAATCAAAATGGAAAGAGTTATCAATCCTTAGGGACTGACTATAAAACAGCATTACCATATCCCACTGAGAAAGCTTAATTCTCCCTGTTAAAAGCTTCTGAGATAGCAGTTTCTCTATGGCATTGTTAAATGCAATTACCACAATAATAATTCATTTTTAATTGAATTTACATGACTAGCTACTTGTACTATGACTAACAAGCAGTTACAATTATCAACAATAAAAAAACAGCAATCAAATATATTGAACCAGAGAAAGCTCATGTCTAAAAATAAATTCTGTAGTCAACTAACCACATAAACTAGTTAAAATAAGCAAGACTGACTTCTTGCCTTATGGCTGCACATATCATATATTTGAAAAAAGATAGTTACCTGTCAGCCCTGATTCAGCTTCAACTAACAAGAACTTTATAAATATAGTGGTCATTGACAGAACTCTCCACGCACGAAATTCTGGGTATTCTCTACTGAAAGAGCTGGATACGGCAGCCTGACTCAAACGATAATCAAAAGAGTACATAGTTGCCTCAACTGTGCTTCCAATTCAACATTCATACAATGTCTATCTAGACCAGGGGTGTCAAACTCGCAACGTCACACGACGTGTCGCAACGTAACGTGACTTTTTTCCCATTGCCGGGAATGGGGTGGGCGCAGTTTTGCCATGACGCATCTGGCCTGCATCTGACACCCCTGTTCTCGGCCTAAGTCTGCTTTCACTTCTGTATGTTTATTAGGTAGATTAAGGTGCCTGAGTTATTCTTTCAAGCAGAATATTAGTAATAAATAATACTAATTATTATTTAAAATAATTTATGCAGCAGGATTGTATGATTTCCTGCTTCTTTGTAAGAATGAAAGTCAATCTTCAAGAAGCAAAAGGCATACGGATGGCTTAAGAATGACATAACAGCAACAATTTTTAGTTTAGTATGATTTTATTCTCTTTGGTTTAACTGAGAAATATAGAAATGAATGTCTAACCCACCTTAACAAAAGTTTTTTTGTTAGTAATGTCTGTCCTTTGAATATCAAGCATAATATTTTTACTGCCACACCATAACCCGCAAAGAAAAAAGAAGCTGATTCTGCCATACTTATAAATTTTAAAGAAGGTATTATCTCCTCATTTAAAACAAATCCTTTTATATATTCTCCAAGGGGACAGACTTATAAATAATGGAAATGTGAATAAAAAAAACATCACCACATTAAGGGACAAATAAAATAGATTACTACATATTATTCAATTGACTCTTATCTCTATAGTGATGTGTCAATCTTAACAATATTTGGCAAAGAGAGTAAGCAATACATGGGAAGAATCAGAAACTACTGGATCCAACTCATTTGTAACTAAAAGAAAAAAAAGAGATGCACCTTGTATAGGGACTATCACAAAATCCCTGAAATGTCTACCCTGACTTGATACAAATTCAAAAATATATTTTGCATATAATAAGCTGAGCCTTAGATGAATCCCCTGGATCCATACCAAAAGAAGTGCATGATTTCATCCCCAAAAGAAATGTCACCTGAAACTCTCAGATTTTGGCCATGCTACAGAAGAAGACAGCATATCTCATCAACCGAGCCAAGTGCAGCAAAAACGAAACATAGAAGATCCTCCAAGTCTGGATTTTGTCTCAGACATGAACTTTGTGGATATCTTTATAAAAGTAATTTGGCAAAATTATATAATTTTTAAGTTTATGTGTTTATTTGTTGAATAAAATTCTATGTCCATTCCTTTCAAAATGTATCCCAAGGTGGTCTCTAACAAATTAAAATGTTGTAATAATAATAATAATAATCCCCCAGTGAGGCACTACCTTGACGTGGTTGTGGGGCTTGTGTACTCTGAGGAAGATGAGAGCTATGCCAGAGGTTCAACCATACTGGACAGGTCTCATCAGAGGAGTCAGACAAAGAGTGTCTCTCCCATAAAAAATATGGTGAGATGTAAATTGCAGAATGCCATACTAGCTCGGACGTCGCCCGGGTTAACAAGCTCCGCGCTAGATATC